GCAGAGGTGCTAGGGATGGTGTAGTGAAAACAGTGTCTCCACTCTTCCACAAAATTGTGGACACCTCCAGTCACAGTCTGATGTAGGAATTGATGTTGGGATTTGAAGTCAATGGCCAAGAAAGAATTCTTGAGTTGTCTTTGGTGCAAAAAGGTGGCTTTATTAAAACAGGGGGCTAGGACCTGTGGGCAGGAAGAGTTACACTGGGGTTGTAAGGCATAGTCCATTATAAACTTTCAAATTGGAAGGGGGTTAAGAATAGCACAAGCCAAACAAATAAAGAATAAAAAATAGCACAAGTCTCCAAGGTACTTTAGAAACAAGGTTTCCAGGACCTTGAAAGGGCTTTCTATTGTTAGGAAAAGGTAATTTATTACTGTTTAGTAAAAGCTTAGTCATGAGACACTTCAGGTGTATATCAGTGGGTCATACACTTGGAGGATGATTGTTAACATATATATTTATAAGTATATATATTAGAAGATATATATTTTTAACAGGGGAGGTTAGAGATAAAGGAAATATCCAAAGGAATTTCTATATGTTTAAAGTAGACTCACAGGATCCTGGGTTTCAGGTTAAGATTGCCTCTTGCCCTTAGCAAAGTGTCAACATCAAGGCAGCTGATCTCCCAATGGAAGGATAGTCTACCTATTTCAAGGACTTGTCAGTGAGCTGTCAGTATTAAGGAAATTTATTTTTTTTTCTTTTGCCTTTGTTTCCCATATCACAAACCTGCTAATCTGTGATACTGGGAAGGCAGTATAGGAATGGAACTTTCCAGCACTAACAAGGAGTGAGGGCTGAGATAATGAATGCTTCTGATGAGCTGCAAGATCTTATGACAAACTTCCCTGAGAGCCGGCATCACAAAGATTTCTAGTCTGTTTGGCCACAAAGGTGCATCCCTTTAAGTACAGCTTTCAGATGGCAGACACCAGAAAGAATGTTTTCATTGGTCAACAAACCAAGCATTTAGGACATGGAAAAAGGGAAAGAAAAATCCCCACTATTTTTTTTTCCTGGCTAAGCCTTGTGTCTCTTGCAACCACACCAATGACTAGGAGGGGTGTTCCCCAGGTTTGGGGACTGTACTTCATTGTACAGAAGTTCTCATGATGTTGGCAAATGATCTAGTCTCAATCTACCATGTGCCCTGACCAACTTATCTTATGAGTTGAGTCTTGTTGAGGTGAGCACTCTATCAGTGTTAAGTGCTTGACCTATGCCACCAATTTTGTGGCTCTGGCCTCAACGATGCCCTTTACCAACAACCTGTGATCCACAGCACATCTGTTTGGAGTTTGTCCAAACAGATGCACTTCGGGTGGGAACCGTGGATTCACTAGTCTGTAGGGCCAACTCCAACAGCAGGCTTCTAAAGCCTACACTTGAAATCTGCCCTGTGGCAATTCTTTTTTAGGACACACAACACTGAAGACACAAAGGAAAATAAAGACCATCTCTAGAAAGAAATGGATCAATAACCAGAGTGCTCTACCACATTTTTACCAAGAGTCCCTAAGTCCAAGGAACTAGCTCCACAATAGTTCCTTCTGCTAGTCTAAATGTAGAGACAGGAAAAATGATTCTCACCACTCTTGCTCCATTGGATTCCTTAGACAGATGTTCTGGGAGGCTAACAGGCTAAGAAATCTTACCTTCTGCTGACAGCACATCAAATTTCCCAGGATCTCAGCTGCACCATTCAGGTCAAGGGGTATCCATCAAGTTCAAGTGCCCCCCTTCCCAGGTCCCCAGTCACTTTTCTGGATCAAAAGATGCTTTCATTCATGCAGGAGTTCTGATATCTCTGGATTCCAGCACAAGAGGGAGGTGTCTATTACTGTCAAGGTAGTGATAATGCTTATACAATACTCTAGATATATAGGAAGTGAGACAGACTCACCCTCCATTCCCTGGGCTTGGTGACATCCCCCCTCAGGTGGGTCGGGGGTGACTTTTGTTGTCATATCTTCATCAGACCCTTATTTTTTCCTGGGAACAGATTATTTGACACTGTCATATCCCTTTCCTCTGTTAAATTTTAAGATCTATAACCTATTCTCACTGTGTTCATATTCTCAAATATAAAATGAGCTTGTTTATTGATAAAAATTACTCAGTGGATATGTCAGAGACTAAAAGGTGTTGATTCCAGCTCTGGGTCTAGTGGGGGCTCACCAGTGCTTCTGGTCTGAGTGTTTCAACCCAGGCTTGAGGTAACATAACCAGCATGCAGAAATAAATAGGTTATTATGGAGAAGCAACAAACCATCAACATTTAAAAAATGAAAACAATACCATGCATAATGATATAAATTTATTGGAGAGAGAGAGAGAGAGAGATTACAAATAGGCAGAGAGGCAGGCAGAGAGAGGGGGAAGCAGGCTCCCTGCTGAGCAGAGAGTCCGATGTGGGTCTTCTGGATCCCATGACCCTGAAACCATGACCTGAGCCAAAGGCAGAAGCTTAACCCACTGAACCACCCACATGCCCCTAATTCTTAAATTTTTCAGGTCAAATTTGAGAAAAATTGAAAGACTTGTGCATGGAGAAAACATCTTAAGAGAAATGAAATGAACTTGAACAAATGAATAGATATTCCTTGCTTGTGGATCAAAATGGTGAATTTGGCTATAATAATGACTTCCTAAAATTTTCAATCATGGCTGGTGCCAACAGCTTCTGGCACAAAAAAAAAAACAAGCAGATTCACATATATTCTTACAAAAATATTAGAAAACATAATACAGTATATACACATATAACAAGAAGTATATGTAATGACAAATAGTGGTTTATTGCAGTGATGCAACACCAATTTACTATTCAGAAATCAATCAGTATAACTTGCTGTTTTACCAGGTTAAAAAAGAAAAATCCCATGATTTCATCAAACAATATATAAAAAGCATTTGACATAATTCAAAAACCTATTCATGATAATAAATGAGAATGAATGAACAAATTAATGAATATGATCAAAATTCTCAGAGAATGAGAAAGAGAGGGGCACATCTTCAGTTTGGTAAAGAAAGGTATATGATACCTACAGCTAATACACATGGAGGTGTGTTTTCCAAGGAACATTTTTCAAGGAACATTGAAAGGTAGATAGTATATAGGATATACTATAGTAGATAGCAGGTAGTGGATAGTAGAGAGGATAGTATATACAATACTTTTATATCCCTGAAGCTAAAGTGAAACATCCTGTTCATTGGGCAAAAATTACCTGCTTAATGTGTGTACTCTGTAATACAGTTAAAAGAGTACTATAATTATAATTTCAGGACTTAATAATTTAAGGGTCAGTGTCCCCTTTTTTCTCACATGGAAGAAGCAAATTCTTTTGAAAATCGTTTGAGGTTTGGACAAAAATTTCACAGCTCAATTCTTAGGATCACTCTGCAGAGTCTTTTTGATCCAGATGACACAAGGGAAGCTCCAACTTTCTGGCGAAGACATTCCAGCTCACACGATCTCATCAGAAAGGAGAATGTTGGTGGCAAGCACAGTGTGGGAATGAAGAACCTGTTTCTTTCCACAGTAGTTACCTTCCACTGCTTCCATTGCTCACCTTGGCTCAAGTCCACACCCAGAAGCTGACCTGATTCTACTTGAATTTCACTGTGTTCCCTGAAGATCAAAACCAGAGTTCTAGGCAAGAACCTTGGGACTCATGAGCTTGAACTCCAAGTTGGGTCCTGCCCTTAACACTGGGTTTATATTTAACCAAGTCTTCTGCCACTGCCACCTTCACTGCTCCAGCACCTGGAACTACAGAACCCTCACCAATAGCAACCTTTACAGCCTACAATCCATCTCTCACTGCAGCTTTGATCTGAGTGTGTGCTTGTTTGATCCTTTGACCAATAATGCAACAGAGCTGGGATTGTTGTATTTCTCAATAAAGGTGGGTTTCTCTTCTCCCAAGGTGCATTCATATACAAGTCCTGCATACACAGGACTGCATACACAATTCCTATACCAGTCCAAACAATCAAGATTTAGGTCATTAAAGAAAGGAAAACTACTCCACTGCAAACAAGAGTCAGCCTTTCCATATTTCTCCTTTTAGCTCTATGAAGGGTTACTGCTCCTGCTTTTACAAGAGCATCTGAGGACAAGGGGTCATTTCCCTTGTGATTAATAACAACAAATCTTTTATTTGAATCACCACAGTCTTTCGTTACCAGTTCAACTATTTTTTGAACTCTATCTTCAATAAATTTTCCTTCAGCTTTTATGAGTTTTTCTTTCCCTTCTGTGTTCTTGTAAAACAAAAAATTCATTTCTGGGTTTTTTTTTCATATTCTCATGACATAATGCATGTGAGGAGGTATATGCACCTTCTACTCTTTTTTCCATGTCAGTTACCATGCCCCTTGGTTGAAAACAAGAGGACTACAACCTCTGTTATGACATCAGTAAGTTTAGCATTTACTTTAGCATATTGTGGCCACATCTATGAGTGTTTCTTTGTGCATTTCTTTACTTACTTTGACTTGTTCCAAAAACTGAAATGCTTTTTCCTACATAACTTTAAATACTTTGGTTATTATTCTGGGGTGAAGCCTTTCAGAAATGTAGGGCTCTGCTTGTTTCAGCAGCTCCCAGTGATTAGAAATCAAGAGTTGGTTGCTTACCCACTGAGCCACCCATTATATGAGGATAATTATGAAAAAGCTGCAAAAAATCTTTTACAGGAAGGATAGGCATTTGGGAAAATGACCACAGAACAACTGGATAGCTATAGGGGGTAATGAATATCCCCTAAACCTCTCACCTTATTAAAAAAAATCATGGAAAGTGTCCTAGGCTTAACTGTAAAACATAAAGCTATAAGCTTTTAGAAGAGAACAGAAGAAAATCTTCAAGATCTAGGGTTTGTGTAAACATGTTTAGACAAGATACCAAAATCACAATCCATAAATAAAAAAAGACTTATAAATTGGACTTCATCAAGACAAATTCATTCTTATTCCTTTACTTTGTGAAATAGACAATTAAATTATCTGAAGAAAAAAGATTAAAATACAAGTCCATTTATGGGAGAGGAGTTGGAATCCACTGCTTTAATGAACACAGCTGTAGAACACTCAAAATGTATGTTAGTACTCTAAATTGCATCCCAATGGAAGGATATGATGCTTGCAATATCTTCTCTGGGGTGCCTTACATTGTAATTTAGGTGAATTTTTGCATCTCACATAAACAAGGACTCCTTCTGAGAATGAAAAACAGAACAGTAATCATGGGCGCTACTATAAAATGACACTGTCAATTAATCAAACCGCTTGTAAATAGACAGGGACCTGATAAATTAGAGAAACCACGTGGGCTCTCAAGGGTTTGGTCCTTGGTGAGGTGTGCACCCTTTGACCAGCAGAGGGCGCTGCGGGACAGCCCTGCAATTCCCACATGGCCGCTCAGTGAGAACCATTCACTCAAAAGGAGCCTAAGAAAGGGGAGTGAGCCTTGTGCGGATGAGGACTCCGCATCTGTGTCCTCTCTGGCCTGGTAGAATCCCCAAAGCAGGGACCTGTGGGTGGTCTCAGCAGGTGTTTCCTCCCAGGGCTCTCCCCAGGGGATGAAGCCAACAGCCCTTCTCTTCAGTGTGTGGTGTGAGCTGAGCTCCAGCACCAGGGCTCAGAGAGGGGCTGGGCAGTCACCGGATGGACCCCATTTGCATGGACAGCCCCTTCTGTGGCAAATGGTAGAGGATAAAAGGAAGCCTGGGGCAGCCCAGTGCACTGTGGGGACCAGAGTCTGTGTCACTATGGCCTGGACTCTTGTTCTCCTCATGTTCCTGTCTCACTGCACAGGTAAGAACAGGCCTTGGGGACAAGTTCTCAGTGCCCAGCTTCTGCCAGCCCCTCTGCTCAGAGATTTGAGGGGATTCACCTTGGCTTCTGCCCCATCACTCGTGTGTGTCTGTGCTTACAGGTTCCATCTCCCAGCTCTTGGTGACCCAGCCTCCCTTCCTCTCTGCATATCTGGGAACAACAGCCAGACTCACCTGCACCCTGAGCGGTGACATCAGTGTTGATATTTACCCCATATTCTGGTACCAGCAGAAGCCAGGGAGCCCTCCTCATTATCTCCTTACCTATGTAACAGACTCAAACAAGCACCAGGGCTCCGGGGTCCCGAGCCGCTTCTCTGGATCCAAAGATGCCTCGGCCAGTGCAGGGATTCTGCTCATCTCTGGATTCCAGGCAGAGGATGAGGCTGATTATTACTGTCAGTCATTTGATGTTAGTGATGGACACAGTGATACGGGTAGATGAGGAAGTTGGACAAAAACCTCTGTCTTCTCTGGATACTTTCCCATTTTAAAATAACTTTGGACATATGCTAGTGTTAAGAAAAACAACAGGCCCCAAATGGAGTCCCTTATATTAAGTTCTACAAAAATTTCAGACCTAACCTACCTATACTTCCAGTCTCTCCAGGAGAGGAGTTTTCAACCAATCCATCAGGAATTTCCTGTTCAGCACTAGTGATACAAATCTGTCTGAAGAGACAACCTGTCCTTCACCTAAAGGAAGGTGTCCTTGTCAAAAATAATCCTTTTTCTTACTGATACTTCCTTGTCCAACCCAGTTTCTCCTTAATGAAAGCCTTCATTTCCTAGGATTCCTCCAAGCACCTGCTTCTTCAGATGGGATGCTGTTGGACTTGTGAGTGGGTGAATAAAGACAACCAGAAATTTCAGCTTACTAGGTTGAATGTTTGTCCTCTAATCCTAGCTACATCCAGAAGTAGCTTCTGACACAGAGTGGCTCTCCTCTCGATCTCCCATTTCATGTTCTGATGTCTCAGGAAAACTGAGGAAAAAAAAAAAAAACAAGAAGAAAGCTCATGATGGCATCAAGACTATGCTTTGTGATCCATATTTAATGAAACCAGAACCTCTGGAGTCTTTTTTTTTTTTAATTATCAAAAAAAGAAAAATAATTGTTCCTATGAAAGCATCCCTCTGGGTCAGGAGTGCCTAGAGCATTCCAACAAATTGACAGACCCTCTAGGGCATGGACTGTGCTCTTTGTGGGGTCAGGGCAGAGCACCCTTCCTCCCCTGTGCTGACTGACTTCCAAGAGTATGGTGGCCCAGGGAAAAGGCAGTCACTGTGAGACACTGTGGGAAGACACAGGCCCTGGAAGAATGGCAGGCAAAGAACTGGCCTGGCACACTGACAGGGTGTCTGAACCTTCATTTGGGGTTTCAGGGAGAGGGGGGGCCAGACACAGGTGGGTGTTGGGGTTGGGTTTGGGGGCCTGAGGCCTTATAACCACTTCACATAATGTAAGAGGGTGAGGGGAAGCTCTACCATCATGGGGAAAATGCTGAGCCTGCTTCAGGGAAGGGGGTGAAGTAGGTCTCATGGGTGTGACTGTCCTACAGCTGATCCCAGTAAGGACCCAGGAGAACTATCAAGGGTGGGATTTCCCCAGCCCGGTGAGATCTAGCTTGACTCCCACCTTGTCATCATCGATGTTCTGAGTGATCACATGTCCCACACCATGGCCTCTATCTACTCCTGTCTATTTAAGTGTACTTCTACATCTAGAAGTGTGGCAATAAAGATTAAATATTTTGTTTCAAGAAGGAATCCCTGTGTCATAATTGCTCTTCTCTGTTTTTCAAAACAAGTTATTTGTAGGAAAACAACCTGCCCTTCAACTGTAGTTTAGAGGGAAAATTTCAGGATGAAGAGCAAGAAAGCTGGCTTGTGGAGAATAAACATAGGTACATTTTTGACTTGACATGCCTTACTCATCCATTTCTACCACTCCTGAATCACTTTACTTTTCTAGAGCAAACAATTTATAATTTGTTCTGGGTTAAATCAAAAGGAACCAAGGCTACAAAATATCAGTGATAAGTTGCAAAAATTATGGAATCTTATGTGAAATATGGTGACTGTAATTAATAGGAATGACTTGTCTGCCTACAGTATGCTGAGGGAGTAGAGAACAAAGAGAACTCTGTGAGGTGACATAATGATAATGATCTTGACTATCAACCATTCCACCATGTATGCCCACATTAAATCATCATGCTGTACACCATGGTTGTATTTATTTATATTTGTCAGTCCTCAGTAAATCTTAAAAAATCACTTTACATAATTATCTGTCAACATAATATAAAAGAGCATTATTTGAAATTAAATTTAGTAAGTTCTATTTATGTAACAATAGGATTATGACTCTATATAAATGCTTCTCATCATTACATATATCATGCACTTCTTTTCTGGGTACAGATAAGTCTCCATACTCAGTGTCCTCTCTATATGGACTCATGAGCCATCTCTCTCTCTTTGTGATTGTGAAAGGTGCCTCTTCACTGAGAAATTAAGAAAACCATATCACCATAGGACCACAGTGCATTTCTGCTGTGGTAAATGGGTGGTGAATCATTATGTATTATATGATATCTACATATGTGTATAATTATTTCTAATGGAATATTTTAGATAACCCCAAAAATGTAAGATGTGTGTCTTGGTAAGTAATAGACAGTCACATATTTTTTTTACCTGCTAGAGAAAATGAGCCACAGGAAGGGAAGTGACCACACACAGAATTCATGAGACACTTGAAATTTTTAGAACAAAATGAGATGGATGCCAGGTTTCCAAGTCAGCATGATTCATGGTATGAAATATTAAAGCCCACATGCCCATCACAGCTGATTTGCTCAACATTTCTATATATGTGTGAGAGAGACACAGATTGAAGAAGTAAACAGTACAATTTTCTGAATATTTTCCTTGAGAAGATGGGTGCTAGGGACAGTCAGAGGCAGCTGTGCAGGTCCCATGGCACCTCCTCAGAACAGCCCATCACCAAAGGACTTTCCAATCTAATAGTTGTCCATGTCATCTTCTGACCTAAGTGTCGCTATGGAAACAGAGGACAGTGTGAAACCCCTCTTCCCTGTCATTCAGCCCCAGCTTAGCCACTCAAAGATGACTTTTAAGGTCTCCTAAGAGCCCCATCTTTCACCCCCCCCTTCACTCCTCAGTCTCTCCTCTCACCAGGGACCCAGCTCTACCATAACCCCTGCCTTCTTCATGGAGATCCATCCTCTTCAGGGCAGGGCTCCAGCCCCAGGTCCTGATGGGAAAGCTGTGCTGAGTAGTGGGTCCCAGAGTGCCAACGTCTGTCCTTCTGTTCATGCAGAGCAGCCTCTTCTCAATCCCTTCCTGCATGACCCTTGTTGATGGAGGCCCACATCACCACAAGAGGTGGACAGGCTAGGAGTACAGGATGGGGACAGGGGTCTGAAACTGCCTCAGTGGAAAGTAGGGTCAGAGGGAGGAGGAGCTCCTCCACCTTTCCAAACAATGGGACAGTTTTTTCCCATGGACCAGAGGCTGGCTCAGGCCTCTGCCCTTTTGATTTGCTGACAGCAGGATACCTTCCCTGTCTGGCTCCAGGTCTCAGGAGCCACTTTGCACTCATGTAACCCAAGAGGGAGGTCCCTGAGTCAGCATCGGAGGAGGACACTTTAGGAAATTAAGGGGTGCATGGTGGGGAGGAGTTTGCAGCCTAGCAAAGGGCTCCAGGGCAGGGCTGAGGGTTCCCTCCAAATTTTGAGGAGGAAGGGATGGAAATGCCAAAGACTAGGGCAGGCCAGCCCCTCCCCCAGGTGGATATTGACATTGCCTTTCACTCTCATGCAGAAAGGCCAGCAGAGGGCCCAGTAGTCATGTGTCCGATCCACGATCCACATTGGGGGTGAGCAGAGCTGTGGACCCAACACCTGGTTGCTTGACTGGTGCCCTCTGTTCAGGACTGCCTGAATGTGGTCTCAGAGAATGCTTCTTCTCAGGACTCTCCACAGGGCTGAAGCCAACCCCATCCTCCTCAATGTGTAGTGTGAGCTGGTCTGCAGCATCAGATTTGAGGGAGGGGCTAGGCAGTCACTGGAGGGACTCCATTTGCATGAACAGCCCCTCCTATGGCAGAGGGTGGAGGAGAAAAGGAGGCCTGGGGTTGCCCACTCCACTGTGGGGACCAGCGTCTGTATCACCGTGGCCGGGACTCTTATCCTCCTGGGGCTCCTGCCTCACCCTGGAGGTAGGGAGGGGCCTTGGAAACACAGGGCAGACCTCTGGCAGATGTCAGCCTCGTTGGCTGAGACCCTAGGAAACTTTACCCTGGCTCTTGCTGCATCACCCATGAGTATCTGTGTTTGTAGGTTCCCTGTCTCTGTCTGTGCTGAACCAGGTACCCTCCCTCTCTTCATCTCTAGAAACAACAGCCAGACTCACCTGCACCCTGAGCGGTGACTTCAGTGTAGGCAGCTACTACATATTCTGGTACCAACAGAAGCAAGCTAGCCCTCCCCGGTATATCCTGTGCCATAAGTCAGATGCAGATAACCACCAGGGTTCCTGGGTCCCCAGCTGCATCTCTGGGTCCATAGATGCCTCTGCCAATGAGTGGCTTCTGCTCATCCCCAGACTGCAGCCTGAGGACGAGGCTGACTATTACTATGCTCTGTATCATTATAATGGGAATAACTATCATTCTCCACAGTGTTTCAGATAACGAGGAAGTGAGACAAAATCCCGTGGGAGCTAGACCTTGTCTCTGAGCCTTTTTTATTGAGAAGCTTCTGTGGAGGCTCCTGACAGGAGAGTCCTCTGTGTTGAGACCTGTCCTTGAGGAGGAAGGAGTGACACACAGATGATGCTGTTGCCTGGGACAGCATGGGTATATGAGGAACACACTGCGTAAGGGAATAGAGCCCAACTGTTCATGCCCCATTGTCTGGGGAACATTAATAAGAATAAATACTTTTAAAGGAAAAATAACTGTTTTTTTTTCTCTTATCTATTACTGTTAGGGAGCAAGAATATCCTGTCCCCTCAAAGATCCTTCTAGCTGAACCAGGAACCAAATTGATAGGAAACAGATAAGGAGGAGAAAATCAAATTTATTAGTGTACATACAGGGAATCTACATATACACAGGAATTCTGAAGACTGTCAGGCAAAATAAGGTATATATGTCATTCTGAACTAAAGAGTAGGGGATAGGGGTCTGGGGCTTCAAAGGGAAGGAATGCAGTACACCAGAATATGAAAAGAGTAAGTGGTAAACAAATGTTTGCTCTCCAATATAGGTGGTCACTCAGATATATTTATTTCTGGTAATAACCCTTATCCTAGAAAGGTCATCTAGTTTAGATTCTTCTATAGAGATAAAAGAAAGGCCAAAGTTTTCTTGAGCCCAAAGAGCCTCAGATTGCCTCTGGCTCTAAGTAAAGCACATGACAAAATGGCCT